CCTCACTCATGCAGAGTAAAGATTTCTCTACAAAATGAGATGGCTCCCAGCTCCCCATCATGTTTTCTGATAGAGTTATGATCATTTTGCTAGAAGCCTTTGCAAAAATCACATGATTATAACTCTATCAGAAAACATGATGGGGAGCTGGGAGACATCTCATTTTGTAGAGAAATCTTTACTCTGCAAGAGTGACTGTTTGAAAAGTTTATCAAGTACTGAATGGAAGAGAAAAAAGGTTCGAAAGTAAAAAAATAGGGTTTTTTCAGCGTAAAGTAACAAACTTTAAAAAGTTCGTATCTTCTCAATAAAAGGCCTTGGAGAGTTGTGGGTGGTCTTATTTTGCAGAGGACACTTTACTCTATAATGCACAATATTAAACTCAATGATAAAATAAATTCCTAAAAAAGTCTAAAAAAAAGAGGAGTTACGTTTGATTTTCTCTGACGGTGCACATTAGGATTCGACAATATATATATACTACTGGATAGAGAAAGTCTTTCTCTATAAGCTCATATATATCCCGTTTTGGGGTCAATATAACTTATAGTCACCTTTTGGTTTAAGGTTTAATCTTGAACCAGAACGAAATCGAGAATATAAATTCCCATTATATTATTCTGAGAACTTAAACTATCAAAAACACAAAATTAATCCTTACACGAAGCTAGAACCGAACACACGAACTTGATCTTTGCAGACGAACTGCAAAAATCAATTTTGCTGTTCTTTTCTATATTCTGCACAATGAACGAAGTTGTGCAACGACTCGATGTTATCCTTCAATGTATATTTTTTTTGTTGACAAAACATTCTTTTAAATCGCACGGAGAACTAAACTAAAAATCAAACAGATATCACTTTCAGTTTTAGTCAATTAGTATAATTAGAACTTATAAAAAATCTTTCTATATTTCAAACTCGAGTAAGTGAAACATGTCGAACTCATTACTGTTATGTTATTCAACAATAATCTTACTTGATAGTACATATCTCATTTCCACTGCTGGTTTAATATCTAGACGAATTGTTTTCAAATTTTTTCCATATTCACACAGAGAATCGAATAAAGATGCATAACATTCTGGTAATTGTAAATGATTAATAATTATTGTTTCTAAACTATTTCCTAAATGAAATAAAATCTTTGTAAGTGTTTGAACTGAAATAAAACCATCGAGATGTAAATATTTTAATGCATATTCTATTTGTTGATAAAATAATAGATGACAAATTCGATCATCACATAATAATGTGTGTTCAAATGTTAATGACACTGTGTGTAACTGAGACTGTTTTAAAAAATAATTTGATAAATTTTCAAATGAAAATATTGTACGACTATTTGTAGATGATCTTAATAATGTTGAAGATCGAATATGTATTCCTAGTAAATGAAGTGATTCCAAATTTGGAAATACGTGAGTTAATTGATTGAAATAATAGTCAGACATCATTGAATTACCGTTTAAATTTAAATTTTTTACCGTTGAATAAAGTTGTTGTGAATGTGTGAGAAAATTTTCAGTAAGAAAAAAATATTTACATAAACTTAAATCTAATGTAACTAAATTTTCACAATAATTTAAAATTTGACTAAATAAAAATGAATCAATTAATCTCATAGACTGAGAAAATGATAATGTTTGCAAATTTTTCAAACAATGTTTAAAATACGGCGAGGTATTAAGTTGTAGACATAATTCTTCATAATTGTAACGAAATAGTGATAAATGTTCAATATCATTAACTGGTACTTTTTCTAATAATACATTAAAAAATTCAGGCTGTGGTTTCAATAGAATTGACTTAGTCCGAGAGTAGGATTTCAATGATGATAAACGAATATAAAATAATCGACATGTTAAACGTAAACATTTCCAATCTGTTAAAGATAAATCATCAACAATTGTTTGAAAGATCTAAATAAATTATAAATTGATGTTCTTTGATGTCTTTAAAATCTTATTTAATAAGATAAAAGCATAAACGAACATTGAAACGACTCTTACCTCAATTGGTAGAGTATTCATTATTTTTGTTATGTTAAATTTCCATTATTCTCTCCGATATTTTTGATTTAATCTAAAAACGAAGTAACAGCTTATAGTTAGCTGAAATTTCGCTTCTAATACTCGGTTATCAAATTAAAATATTTGAAATTCAATTAGTTTAATATATTATTCAGGATTGAGTATAGTGGTCCTACGTACCCGACTGCTAGTCGATATACTTTTTAAATTAACTTTTTTTCTTCATTATATCATCAGCATTGATCGCTTCTCTGACTATTCTTTTTTTCTTTTAAAAAAACCAGAGTTCAAGAACACAGTTTGACACTAGAATTTCATCATTGTCGAAGAGAACGCACCTGATAAACCTTTGATAACGGTTTTATTTTAAACGACATGTTATCTCTTTTTGTCTTTGTACAGCTAAAAATGCTGACAGAAAGAAAAAGAAAAAAGAAAGGTGAACGAGAGTATACATAGACAGAGAATAATTATATGTGTGTAAACTTAGAGATAATAATAAACACTGACAACAAAGAATCTATTTTTAAACATAAACAGAAGAGAAAAAAAAAAGAAAAGAACCAAATAAACAAAGACATAGAAAATAATAAGCCAACAAAAATAAAATTTTTTAAACAACGGAAATCTTTTTTGTGAACAACTAATATACAGAACAATATATTCTATAGGGTAAAGAAAATTACTTGTTTTATGAAGGAGTAATATTCAAAAAACACTATCAAAACTATCATTAGTTCTTTTTTTTTATTTTTTCTAATAGATTTTTGTCTCAACTGTAAGAAGAAAAAAAAAAAACGAGAAGACAACAAAAACAATTGAGAAGCAAATAATATCTCGTTTTATAAAATAAGAAAACTCTATTCTGTTTTCCAATTTTAATATTTAAACTAAACGACGACAGGGACTTTTACTCGCTTCAAAATATAAACAATAGCTACTACAAACTAAAGCATATAATACAAGAAAAAAAATAACAAGAAAAAAAACGAAAGATTAAATTCTTTTTCAAACAATGTACTATACAACGTTTTTTTTTTAAATGAAACAATGGTAGATATAATTAAAAGCGATTGTTCATTATAAGCTGAGTGGAAACATAAAAAAGAAAAAAAAAAACTCAAGCAAGCTCCGATGCGGAGTGATATAAAAAGAATTTAATCTAATCCGCTTGTTTATAAGAGTGCTGTACATATGAGACAACAAAGATATTATTGTCTCACAGACTAAAGATTCTTCTTCTTCTTCTTAGATAAATATTAATTTTTAAGAATTAGACGAAACAGACAAATAAGAGAAAAATATATGATCAATGAGATGCAAAGAGAAAGTTTATGAGTCAAAAGAAAACGTAAGTTCGCGTCATTTATTTTTTAATTCTAATAATAACGTTCTATTTTCGTGTTGGTATTTGAGAAGCAGAAGAGGGTACTATTGATTGTGTTGTAGATGTTGGAACAATATTTTGAGATGCTGTCACTGGTGGTGCTGGTGTCAAAGCGCTAGGGCCTAATGTTGTAAATAGAGAAAACCTATAGAAAGTAAAAACAATGAGTCAAGGAATAAATTACAAAATAAGCAGAAATTCAACTGTTTCAAAAAAAAAAATCTTCTCTTTTGAATGTTTTAAGATTTTTTAGTTGCAAAGAAAATATTAAAGCGTTCAAAATTTTTCTTATATTTGTTGAACTATTTTTTGGATGTAAAAGAAAAATGAACATAGCATATAGCTATTTATTAATTAAAAGGATACATATCAAAATCTAATCGTTGTTTGCTTATTCCGCTTAGTGCAAATTCTTCGCTAACAATTGGAACGTTTCGTTTATGTAAACTTTCGTATTCTTGTTTATGTTTTTGTGCTACTATACATATTAAATCTTTTGCTGGACGAAGCATATTAACTTTATCAATTAATTTTCCACCAGCTGCTTCAATAATATCTGAAAAAGATAAAAAGACATTCTTTGCATTCTACATTTTTGTACGTTACGATTTTTATGAGACTGTTTAATATTTGGTTGACTATTGAGCACAAAAATTCTCTTAGCCTGTTAAATTCTAGCTTCGTTACTGTAAAATACCTTTTAAATCTTCGTATGGTGGCGATGTATCTTTCGTACAAAATATTTTATAGCCACCAAATATTGGTCGTTGTTTGGCTAAACGTACACTTTCCTTTAAATTAAAACCATAACGTTGTTCTGCTTGTTGATCGTTTAAATAAAATTTATCAATAGGATAATATTTTTCATCACGTAACATTGTATCGATCCATGTTGGTGATACGATATGTGCACCTCTTCCCAAACACATGAAAAATTTCTTTGTACGACGTATACGATCAACAACTAATACGTCAACTTGACAACTTTCATCAATAATGTCAAAGCCAAGTTTTTTTAATAGATCTAATTGACGTTGATCAAAATTCTACAAGAGAAGCTTGAAAATAACTTGTGCCATTCCACGATATAGACAAAAGTGTACGTTCTTCACCCAAATTCAAAGTTTTTAAGCATTTAAAACATGATCTTCTCACTTACCAAATGACTGCTTAAAGCGATTCGTACTGGTCGTTTTTCTTCAACTTCTTCCACTTCTGTTTTTGTATCCGTTTTTTGTTTTTTGTTGGATTTCGATGATGAACGTTTATTCGATGAGTCTGGTTGTTGACGTGATGATTGACGAGCGTTAGACGCACTCGTTTGGGGAACTAATTGTTGTTGATCTTGTTTTTGTTCATCTTCGGTTGTACGAGCAGATTTCGGTGTTTTGGATTTCGAACGTGTGCGTCCAGAATTTTCTTCTGTTTTTGGTGGTGGGGGTGTACTGACATTTGTTGGTGTTAACGGTTGATTACTGCGTTTTTGTCGTTTAGCCTGGCTGACATTTGCTGTTGATGACAAAGAGCGATTTGGTGTTTGGTCATTCACAACATCTGGAGTGACTGATAATGGTAATTTTCGTCGACGATTGCCGGTTAACGGAGTTGATTTAGTTGCTGATGCAGAATTTGTCAAAATACGGCTTAAAAAGAAGGAAAATAAGTTTTAAAAAGAGAAGGAAAAGAAAGTATTTACCCTTTTGTAGGTTCAGATGTTCGATTTCGCTTCGGACCAGTCGGGGTCGTTGCTATAGGTGCTGTTGTTTTTCGTTTACGTTTATTAATCGAACCTTTTCTTGTATCTTGAACTTCTTCGTCCCCGATTTCCAACTGTTCAGCACTACTATCTTCATCGATCTTTTGTTCTTCTTTTTGATGATCATCGATCTGTTGTTGTCTCAAACTTTTACGTTTTAAAGCAGAAGATTGTGGTTTTGATGTAGGTGATTTTGCAGATGATAGAGTTTTTGATTTTCGATTCGTCTGATGCTTTTCTAACTCATCCAAATCAACATATTCATTATCATCATACGGAAATCCACGTAATTTTCCCGAACTTGCTCGTTCTTGTATACGCCGTGAATGTCGAACATTTGACGAGTTTTCTTCTTGTGGTTTAACAATTGATTTTTTCTCATCAATAATATCAGATGGGCTTGTTTCTTCTACTTTTTCATCTTGTTCTATTGGCAGTGTTTCAATCTCTTTTTTACTGACACTAATATTAACATTATCTTCGTTTTCCGTGTTGATTGTTTCATCCATTGGTGTATCGCTCTCTACAGTTTCATTTAATGTTGGAATTATCGCATTACGTCTACCACGAGTACCATGCAGCTTTGAGCTAACAACTTTTTGTTGTCTACCATGCGCACGACGTGCGTGTTTTCTTGGAACACCAGGTCGACTAGGTTTCAACAGAGTGCCCTCTTCAGACGTAAGTGGTTCATCATCAGCTGATTCCGCTATATTATTATCAACTTCGGTTTGGACTTTCGGTTCATTTAAGAATTTTGATTCGTCAGCTAGAAAAGAAAAAGAAATGAAAAGTAGAAAAAAATAACTTACATTTTTAAATGTATTACTTACTGGTTGTTCTATTTGTTACTTCAATGTCTTTATCAGTCGAATCAATAGCATTCAATTCTATTCGACCATCGTTTGCATTTTGAGATACAGATTCTTGGTTTTCACTCGCATTTATTGATAATGAATGTTCACCAGCAGGAACAGATGTCTGAGGTTCTGACGGCTGTGAGTTAAAAGTATATTATAAGTAAATGAAAAAATGCACCATCAGAGCACCTACCTCATTCAAACCAACTTGATCTGTGTTTTCATTCATGGTTATAATATGCTGTGGATCGTTCTCTGTTGATGTTTCTTGGCTAGAATGAATTTTAGTCATTGACACGTCTTTCATAGTATCAATTTCATCATCAACATTTGTTGTAATTGAAGACGGTACTTCGACAGAAGTCGATGCTGGAAAATATGGTATTTCGGTAAGTTTATCGTCAAGAACATTTGATGTTGGTCGATCTAAACATAGATCAATATAAACTTTCAAATATTTGAGAAAGAGAATATTTATCGAAGTCTAGTCAATTTATTCAATCTACAAAATCATCGGCTGCTGCTTTCTTACCATTCACATTTTCAGCTGTATCTGTTGCTTCGTTTTCATCCGATGGCCTTGATTCTGATAACTTAGATGATATTTGTTGCATCTGATCTTCATTGCGATCGGTAGTCACTTTTTCTAGTTCGACATCATTCGTTTTAGATAGTTCATTTGATTCAATTGGTAATGGTTCAGCATTATCGGATGAATTGATCCTGTCGTTGGTATCCATTTGCGCATTATCAACAAATGACTCCTCTTGTTCTTGGCTAGTAATGACTGATTGCGGAGACTGCTGTTTAATAAGGTTTTCTTCTTCGAATGTTTTCGACGAGATATCTACAAGTGGTGCCATAGATAAATCTTGATCATATTCATTTAATTGTGATGGTTTATCTTGCATATTATTATCCGGCATCATTTGATACGCAGGTGTTTGTAATATTTCTGGCATGTGTAGATTTGATGATATCGTTTTGTCTCTATCATTGATCATATCGTATTCATTGTTGTCATCTAGGGTACTACGAGCAGACACGATAGAAGATTCACCAGAATGCTCATTTTGCAATTCATTATCAATTTCTTGTTGCATATCATATGGGATGTCAATGATAGGCGTTGTAATAACAATTGCCGATGTGGTTTTTGTTATCTCAGTTAATGTAATCACTTCATCTGGTATTTGTTCACTCAAACGACTAGAAACGTCTTGTTGTTCTACTTCTTTTGATGATTTTATTTCTTCACTATCACCAATATATCCTTGTTGATTTATAACCATCTCTTTTTCATCCAATCCTAGATCATATGACTGTGCACCATCATCAACTAATTAAAAATATAAGAAAAAATAGATTAACATCGTGAGATATACAAGTGAAAGTCCTTTTACCAACACTTGATCTCTATAGTTTCTAGTAGCTACTATGTTTATTTGTTTAACTGAAATCGAAGAGAAACAGAAAAATGCTTAAACATACGTTCATTTATTTGATCTGTCTTAATTTCTTGTTCAATATCAATTGTTGTCGTTGTTGTTGTTGTTGTTGTTATAGTGGTAGAGACGGTTGTCATTGTCGTTATATTTACTTGTTCGCTTTCACCAGCGTCTTGGTTTTGTTGTTGTAATTTCGGTTGAACTGGTTGCGAGGAAGAAACAATTTCCAGTTGATCATTCATATTTAAATTTGTTTGTTCAATAAGAGGCAACGTAGCCGGCACAGTATTACAACCAATTAATATTTCGTCAGCGTAATATTCTTCAAAATTATCATTGTTATTTAGTAATGATGAGGAAGATTTAATAGGTGGTATTGTTAGTTGATCCGATGATTGTTGTTCACTACCGATACCATTCTGTTTTGAGTTGTGAGACGAAGAAGATGACGACGATTCATCATCAATCACTAAAGAACACATTAATAAAATATATCAAAAGAATATAAAAAAGATGCTTCTCTTAGCTATTAACAATCATATAATTACTTGGTGAAGAAGAATTTGCCAGTTTTGATGGTATTCGCACTTGTGTCACTGATCGAATCATTCCTAAAAAGGCATGAAACAGTTTTATAAAATGTTAATACGACAATAGTAAAAGAACACTGATATACCAATACTACTATCTAAGTCTTATATCCGCGAGTGGACCCACTCTTGCATTTTATCTTTAATCAATATAATTCTTTATATATCGTTTACTAGAGACGAAACTGCTCTTCGGCATTTTTCTCAAGCCAAAAGATTCTTTTAAAAAGGCAACCTAACACTTACGATTATTATCTCCATTCCAAATCTTCATTGGTTGAACTGGTTCAATATCATCATCATATGAATCAGTAATTGTTTGTGTTGATGCTGTCAAAAAAATATATATTTGAAAATATGGTTACAATGTTTGAGAGTCTTTGCTGTTGTGCTTACGTATACAACCGGCTGAATCTTTATTGGCAGTATTATTCGAATGAATATTAACAAGACTTTTATGTTTAACATCTTCAATGCCATTGCGTCGTTCCGTAGATGTCTACAAGGAAAAAAATTATTACGTACAGAAAAAAAAATATCGAAAAGCTCTTACAGGTAAACTAAATTCACTATCATTCTGTGAATAACTACCATCTTGCAATGCACTGGTTGCTGAAATATACGAAAGTTGTTTTCCAGACTGTTTTGTCATAAGAGTCTAAAATCAAAAGAAAAAATCAAAAAAATCAAAGCCAATTATTAATAATAAAACTCGATCTGTTGGTAGCTAACATACACTGCTTTTTTCAAATGTGCACGTAATATCACCGAATATGAGTTCATCCCCATATTTTAACGCATATAAAACATTTGGTGTCAATAGTACCTGAAATATAGACAGAAAAAACGTTGAAAGACGAGCAATACCGATCTAACGCTCAAATCAAATTTTTATTAAATAAAATGTCATCCGTCATGTCCCATACTTTATTTTGCAGTGTTTTATTGCTTGACGCTAAATCTTGAACATAATATTGACCATTTGAATACGTAATTCTTGCATGTTGTTTTGAAAGAGACTAGAATAGTCGTCAAAAACCAGTTAGAAATCTCCTTTACACACAAAAAAGAGAATCGTACTTGTACAGGAATTATAATATCAGATGGAAAGCTACGACCAATTGTTGTTTCTTCTAGAGTACGAAAGAAATAATGAATATTAAGTAAAGAATACAATGAAGTTGCAGAGCAAAAGCATTTATTTACTTACTTGCTAATGGATATTCAGTTGCCACATTATCGACCGGGCTTACAAGCTTCAAATAGGCTTCCTATAACAGCAAAGATACATCGAATATAACACGAGTAAGTTTGTTAATGTATTGTTCTTTAAGTCAAAACTGATTGATCGTGACAGTCGATCCATTTCTAATATTAATTCAATTTCAGTTCTCGTTTACTCGCAGAGAAAAACTTACACTATCACCAACCGACGAAATTGAATCGTCTGCAGTAAGAATTTGTGTGCAGTCGAGATCAGACATATCTGAAATACGCAAAGCATTTGATTATAATGAAGCTATAATTCATAGCTTTTTTTCAGACGAATATTCTGTTCTTCCTTACTAGTTTCTTTGTTTATAGCGAAAACGACGCTTTTCTCAGAAGACAGACTACGTCAAGCTTAGTTTAACTATGAAATGAAGCGAAACGTAAATTACTATTAGGAAAAGTTATCTCGCACAAATTATTTATCGACAGTTCTTGTAAAAAGTTGAATAAATAGACTACACTAGTCCATAATAAAAGTATTCTGTAACGAAATAAAGCTTTCGATGTTTTTTTCTGTACAAAGAAGAGCAGCCTATTTTGCATAACATTTCCCCCTATAGAAAAGTATCTCGATGGCGATTTCCAAAATCTTTCACCCATACACAAAGAAACATTTCTGCGCAAGAGTAGCGCTCACACAACAAAAATGAATATGAGTTAATAGAAAGCTCGTTTGTGAACGTTCTTTTGAGTTAAACAACTTTTTTTCTTCTGCTCTTTATATCCTTTATTCTGAAATTAACTTTTTATTTTTTTGACAAGGCCCCGACATTCATGATGCTACATGAGTCTCTATCTATAATACTCTTACTGTTACTTTTTTGTGATATACTACTTATGCAGCAATTATACTTCGCATTGTTAATTGTGGTTCATATCGGTCGTCAGAAGAAGTTGAAAAATACTTTCTGTGGTGGCGTTACCATCTATCAGTTTTACTGGAATAAAAGCGTAAGGTAACACCAAGGCAGTAAAACTTAGCAATACGTATGCTGTCTAGTTATCTTCAAACTTTAATTAGTGTCGTTCTTTAGTTGAGAATTATTTTGCAAAGAAAAAAGAGCACAGCGCTAAAAAACTGATGATCACAAAAACTAGATCTGTGGCCACCGAATGCTATGTCACTGTTTAACCATCATCTTAATCTAATGAAGGCTTCTTGGGCTTTTTCAATCGACTAGAGAGTAGGCACATCAATTTTACAACAAGTGTATGACATGACGTAAATAATTGAATAAATTAGCGTTGTTTTATTAATTTGAAATATATATATATATTTCATTATGAACTGAAAATTGTTGCTAGTATCTTAGAGTCATCTGTATGTGAATAGGTATGGATTAATAAAATATAGGGAAAATTGTTAATTTTCTGTACAGTAAAGACTATTGACAAATTCGACCTTAGAGTAAGTAGTGTCAGCTACTCTTTTATTGGCTTGAGTCATTGTTATTATAAGTGGGGGACCTTTGATCACATCCCTAGTGAATGTACTTGCGAGTGAGTATTTATTTATTTGCAAATTTTCACGGATACTTGACAAGCACTTGACAAGTATTTTCTATTGATAAATGCCTGAAAGCACTTGCCGGGTACTTGATTTACTTGTTAAACCTGAATGAATGAATGAATTTTATTCACGAAAAGTGAGAGTCATCAAAGGTCATCGACCTATAAAACAATGACTCGAGCCAAACAACAACAAAAGAATCTATAAATAGAAAAAAAAGAATAAATAAAT